CCTGAGTGATAGACAGAACTAGTCTAACCATGAATAGACAATATATGATTTTACAACCCGAAATACGAAATTGCTATCGATTTAGTGGACACACTTGACGAAACAACCGCCATCGTTTCGTGTTTGCCTGTTGCAATGCCATATAAATGTGTTTCCCAAACTAAAAACTTATTTGCAAATGTTTACTCTTAGTCTCCGTGGAATAAACAATTACTTTTCTCGAAAGCTTATGAGTATAAAATATATACATAATTGGCGCTTCTTAACCGCTTAAGCGATTTTTGGCCAAGCTCCTCCTCCATTTTATGATTGGCGTATTTAGGTTTTTCCAAAAAATGGAGGGACCTACAGTTTACACAAAGGCGCTTCCGAACGGCTGATGTTTTTTTATGTGGAGCTTTATTTTATGTCAGAAATACACTCGGAGAGGTTGACATTCCCTACCGAGTGGCAATCGCAATTAGAAAATTTAACAAATTTTTTTTATATTAATTTTCTACAAGTCTTTGGATGTTACTACGACACCAGAATTTGAACCCGAGCCTTCCATTCAGCTAACCATTCAGAGAGCTTGCGAGTGCCTAGGAAATATCAAGAAGTTTGCTAACCTCAGACATCATCAGATCTCGTAACCGCGCAAATGGAAAAGCTCGCTCAGAATTCGCTGTGCTGAAACGATCAGTAGTTTGAAAACTTCAGCTCCTACTTTCTCATTAGCCGACATTTCGCGCCAGTAAAGCTTATTCGAGGAAGCCTCAAATAGTGAGGCAAACATTGCTCGACATTTTTTGAACGTACCAAAAGTGAACGCCACTTGGCTATTTAAGTTGCTTGTCTATTTAACAGTAGATTTACGCTGAAGCAATGCTCTCCTCATCTCCCGCTAAACGCCACTTGAAAACACTGCATTTCTCTGGAGGCCTAAACCGAATATCGGTGGTAAATAGACGACAGACTCCAGTGAAGATTCTTCTACACAGAGAAAGATGTTGAAATAGCTGCTTTTTCGAAGTCATTTATATACACACATACATACATATGTTATGTTTGTTGTTATTGTTAACTAGTAGTTAGTACTACTGGCAAAATGATTTAACGGTAATTCAATAGTAATTCTAAAATTAAAGCTACAAAAATGTTTAACTCTTTTGAGCTCAAAAGCCACTTCTCCTAATGTATGTATGTTTGTATGTTCTTCCGATATTCCAAATTATAACATTAACTATAAATAGTTTTCTGGAAAATCGTACACACAACAAATAATTAATTCTTCACGATCGCTCAAGCCACTAGCGGAGCGACAATCGCAACACAGCTGGTCCAAGCCCACTCACTTATGCAGCTTTGCCGGTAAATTGAGACGCACAATTCTATGCTTGCCCCGGCAGCAGCTGCAATATGCAATTGCTGGGCAATTAATTCTGCTGCCCGCTCTTTGTTAACAAGCCAAAATTAGCAAAATCTACGTTTCGTTTGAAAAGTTAACAAACAAATTTCAAAATGTAATGACATAAATATATATGTATGTATGTAATTGAAATAAAAATTACTCAGACTTTGATTTGGCAGTGTCGTTGACACATATGTGCCCAGCAAAAAATTTAACAAGCTGTTCCCACCTGGAGTGAATAAAAAAGATTGGTATTGATTAGTACGTCTTATGGACCAATTGGTAAAAAATAACTGTCTGATTCTACAAAAACTACTAAATGAATTCATATCCACCTTCAAATAGAACGATTTCGGTAAGTTAAGGAATGAAATAGCGGTTCCTCATCACCTTCTTTATGAATGGTTTAGATAAGTGCAACAATTTTAAGGCCTTCATTTCCACGTAAGCAGGAATTTCTCTTTATTCCGACAGCTTGAATCAGGTGGGTGAAGGCTATTTAAAGCACTGCCCTTCGGTTTTAAAGAGAATAAACTGGGAAAGTTTAGGAATATTTAAGCGTTCTCTTCTTCCTTTCAAGGAAGCCAAATAGGTATGGAATATTGTACATATTACATTTCCCCTTCCATGGAAATGTATCAGGTAAGTGTAGACGTGTCTTAACCTTTTTTTCCACCTGCTGATAGAATGAATTTTAAGCATTCCTTTCTCCCTTTCAGGGAATGGAAACATCTCTCTTCTTAATGGAATGAATCAGGTATGAGAGGAATTATAGTAGGCACTACTTTTCTTCTTCTTTGGAAATGTATTAGGTAAGTGTAGAAGGATTTTAAAAATCAAATAAATCGTTATTTTTTTAAACATTATTTATTGCATCTGCTTCGACATCAGAAGCCTAACAGAAAAGTAATAAAATCTTAAACTAAACTAAAATATAAAGCCTATTAGGAGAAATGGCCTGCTGGCTTGACGTTGCTCATAAAAAGGCAGGTTTGACTTATTGCATGGGCCATGGTGTTAGCCAAAGGGTTCGGATGAGTACGTAGTTTTGTTAAGTGATTTTTTGCTGCAATTTCAATAAATTTTTTATGGTAGGTATATTAAGATCTCTATGAATATTTTAATGCGTCCGTTATTACACTTTACATTTTCGATTGGAACCCTCGCCGCGCTAGCTATGCCCCATATTTGGATTCCATACATCCATATTGGTTATATTGCTGCTTTATATATATGGGGACTTTTTTGTTAAGGCTAAATCAATACTTCTTGTATAAAAGTCAATGTAAACTGTCAGATTTGAGTTCAAGCTATAGGTTTTTAGCTGCAATATCTCGCCTCCAGGTTATGCGTCTGCCCAAGTGGATTCTGTGGTATGTAATTTCGTCAGCTTGCTTGATGCTTAAGCTCAGCAGTAGGGCATATTTTTGGCCTTAGTGCAAATGTTATGTGTTGTCACTTGCTGTAACACTTTTGTGGTTCCAAAGGGGCATTTATGTCGACTCAATATAGCAGTATCATCCGTAAATGTTCTGTTAATTACTCTGTCACTTGTTGGAATATCTGCGGGGAACAAAATATACAATATTGGCCCAAGAATAGTACCTTGCGGTAGACCTGCCGTAATTAGATACTCTTCTGTTATGTAAATATTTACTTTTACCGTGAATCGCCTGTTGGTTAATTAGGATTCAAGGATATTGCGGAGCTTCTTAGGCAACACACTTTGTTTAATTCTTGCGCCACATCAAGAAAAACAGCCGAGCAATATTCTCTGATTCGGAAAGCTTTCCTTATTTTACGATTTACTTGTTTAAATGCGCCATATTTTTCCAGAAAACTTGATTAGTAGGAAAAATATCGTTTTCATGGAGAAAAGAAGTTTGGATAGGCAAGACAACAAGCTGCTTGGTCTATAAAATGATGTCAGGGTTGCGTCTTTACCTGGTTTAGCTGTCAGAATTATTGTCGACTTTTTCCAAATTTGTGGATAAGATCCTAGTTTTAGCATGACAATGAAAAGCTTTGCAAGAAAAATGAGAGCAAAGACAATAATAATATGTTTTTAGCTCAGACACAGATGCTCCGAAAGTAACAGTGTATCTAGGGGCAGTATGGTTCGGTGAAAAAGTTGCACCTTTTGTAGCAGTATTTGGTTGAAATACTGTGCTGAGCCGATCTGTTAAACAATACGCCTTTTCTTCATCCGTTCTGGTCCATGAACCATTCGCCGTCTCAACAGTACTTCAGTACTTACTGGCGGCTTAAGGTTTTTTTGGTAGCTTTCCATAGAGATTTTTAAGTAGAAACGTTAGGAGACAAAGACGTTATACGATTTTTAATATTTCTTTCTTCTTCTTCACAGCGTCACGACTTTTTTAATTTGTTTTCTGCCATTTTAAGTCGTATTTTTGCATTGGGAGTTCGGCAGACTTGCCATTCGCGCCGCTTCGGACCAACTCTATTTCCCTAATAATTATCAATATTTTTGGTTATGTTTTCAGCTCTGATGTGGCTATAGTTGCTGCTGTTGCTAGTATACTGTTAAATACAAGTTACTCGTTTTCAATCTCAGTTCCTCCCGGTATTTCTGGATTGGTCTGTAGATGATTGCTCTATGTATTTCTTTATATTTAAGCCAGTTGGTTCTGGATGCTGTAAGTCGAAAAGCGTATCCAGTTTCAGTTGCTTGTTATAAGTCAGCACTGGTTTCAGGCAATACTAAACTTCTATCTACGCTTTTAGTGACTGCAAAGCCAATCAGGTCAAAAAATTTCCATGAGTCCAAAAGCCAGTAAGTTCATTAACTTGGCGAGATATAAATGATGACTTTTTCGGTTAATTAGCCTCGATCTCCAATAAGTATGCATTGTAATCACCTCCAGCTAAAAACTTATCTCCCAGAGTCGTTCAGAAGTCGTTAAATTGTTTTTCTGTTAGGACAGGAAATCGCAGCCAGCCTAAATGTGGTCAACCCCCTATTTTTAAGGGCGATCGAAGTTGACTGCAACCAATTTAATGAGAAGAGATCAAGGTAGCTGTGCTTTGAACAGTTATACTTTCCTCTCCACCATATAAGACCATGACTCAGGTTTTTAAACATTTTTGACATCTTTTAAGGGAATGTAAGGTAAGTGAGGTAATGGCTCAAACATTCTTTTCCATATTCCAAAGGAATGAATCCGGTAAGTAAAATACTGCCTTGCTAATTGGGACTGTTGATGAATATGTAAACTTTGTTGTTGTTGGTGCTGTAGTGCCTGCTGCTGCTAAGCAGTACTTTTGTTGTTGTTGTTGTTGTAATACCTGTTGTTGCTTCAACGCCTGCTACTGCTTCCAATGTTGCTGACGCATTATTAGAAATTCATGATTTAGGCTTGGTGCAGAGGGCCTGAGCACCTGTACCGGTTCCGTAGGTTCCATAGGTTTGATTTGTTGCATTATTTGTTGTTTACTTTGCTGCGATGGTGTGGTAGGTTGTTGCGGAGCGAGAGTTGTGCTGCGGACTTTGTTGTTGAAAGGGCTGCAAAGTTTGCTGTTGTTAGTGCTGTGGTGACATCAGGGATTGGTGTTGAGGAGACCCAATTGTTCCACCCAATCCTTGTTATTGTTACTGGCGTTGCTGCTGCCAATTTTGCATTTGCTGTCCGAATTGCTGTTGCTGAATCAATTGTTGCTGCTGTTGCTGAGGTTGCGGTGAGTGTGGAGGCGGTGTCATTTGAAGTGCTGGTGACTGACGTGGCGATTGCGGGGGTATCTGCCACCAATAAGAAGTTGAGGTTGTTGTTGTTGCAATGAAGCCGATTGTGGTTACTGAGCTTGGTGCACACGTTGCGATTGCTGTATTTGATGAACCTGCTGTTGCTGCTGTTTTTACTGCTGCAATTGTAATTGTTGCTGAAGCTTCTGTTCTTGCTGTATTAATTGTGGTCGTTGATGTTGTATTTGCCGCCGAAGAGCTTCTTTTTGTGGAGTCAAACTCTGGCCTATTTGTATGTGCTGTTAGAGCTGAAGTTGTTGTTGCTGAAGAATATTTTGTTAGAGTAAAATATATTGGTGCCACATCTGAGGAGACATTTGCACAGTTTGCAGTTGGAGTGAATGTTGCCATTGTAGCTTTATCGGTATTGAATTAGGACGTTGGGGGACTGAATAGTTGGTTGGCGCGGGTGTTATAGATAATTTGGACACTGCTCTTCACCGCTCTTAAGGAAATTGTGAAGTTTGTGGAAGAACAAGAAGTATGTGGCAGAGAATTTCAAGTTTTCCCCCTCCTTCGTAGGATATTAATGTGGTTTTTCCAAAGAAAATCCGAGATAGAGAGACAGAGAGTTTTTGCATTACCGCAAAAGCTGAAATAATTCCTTGCTGGGTATGCCTGTAAATTTTACTTATTTTTTTTTTGCCGCAACCAAAAAAAAATCTCTCTACGCAAAAGCATAAATAACGCATTAAGCACTTAACGACTTAATTACGCCAGATTTAACGAGTATTTGCCATCACTTACAAGACCATTAATATTGCACATGCTTGTATGTATGTACACACTCGTATGTATGTATGTGCTGCATGGGAAATCTGTTTGCAAATGCGAAAATTTCAAATTTAAATGCAAATACGGAAATTTTTCCTTCACACAATCGTTGCTTATGGTGGAGCTTGAGAGAAGAGGGAGAGAAGAGTACGGGAGGGATTCTCATACACTCATGCGCATAATTATCATATACAAATGCACATACACATGTGTGCTTGTGGCGGGCAGAGATATTTGCCAGTGACAGACGGACAAACGGCACGCATGCGTCGTGGAACACAAGTCAAATCACTTCTGGCATAGAGCGGGTTGCTGCTAATTTACCATGCGGGTAATGGCATAAAATAATACAAGCACGCACATACATACATACATACATATGTGTGTTTGCATTTGGTGTAATCAAATACCGCAACAACGGCAGCGCACATGCGTAAGATAAAAAAGCAAATCGTAACAACAAGAACAACAACGGAAAACAACCGTTTCGTACAAGCTGTTTAACACTTGTACGCCTTGCTTGCTGCTTGTTGTTTGTTGTTGCTTGCCACATGTTGCATGTTGGCTGGTTGTTTGATTGCTGCCTGACTTTATGTTGCATTTCTTGCTCTCTGGTTTGTGGCAGGTTTATTTGCTTTGGAACTTGCGGTACTACACAGATTTTTTTTTTTTGGTTTACATACATACATACGAGCATATTCTTTTTGGTTGCTTTCTATGGCCCATTTCAAGCGGAAATGCAAATGAAATTAATGTGTTGACAACACCATTGTTGACATTCGCCCATTGTAAATGGAGTGAAATTAAAATTTTGTTGGCGCGTGCCCATGTGGTCGCGTGGTATGCAACATGCAACAGGTACTTTCAGAGAAACCTACACAAGAACAGAGGAAACATAATTAAAGAATTGGACATATATACATATATAGTTATATACATTTGTATATGTGTACATTCAAGTGAGCTGGAGGCGTTTGTAAAAAATCAATGAAAAATATGCAATTTCGGCAGTTGAAAGAACCTAATCTAGATTACCTGTGGTAAATTGAGATATCAGACGTTTGGCACCAGTTTTGCCTATACTCAGAAGTATAAGCAGTTGCTTAGTACTCACGAACTTCACGAAAAATTGTCTGTCCTTCAATTGGGAAGCTGCTGCTTCCGAGCTGGTAGATGTCCAAATAAAAGAAAAGACTTAAATCACCGACGTCCAAGCTATGTGGTAAACAGGAAAAGAACTGGGCCATGTAGGACCTTGTGCAATCTTCGTGTTGGATTCTTGGCGGGCGGCGTGTCTGGGTATTCCCTCCAGTAGATAAACGAGTCGCCACAATCAGCATAATAGAGAAATCGCAAATCGCTAATATGCACACACACCTACACGGTAGAAGAGGACTAAGTGACCTGCAATGGCTTATATCTTATCTTCTGTAAGAAAATTCAGTCCGCACCATATAAAACCACCGCACGAGCTGCGACTCAACGACGTCGCCGAAACCTGGTTGTCTGTAGCACTCGACTCCAGCATAATGAAATTCGTCAAACTAATCCTGAACTCCTTTTGAAAGTCATTACTGCGAGGTCGTGGATAATTTCGTCTATCTAAGAACCAGCATCAAGACCAATAATAATGGCAACCTTGAGATCCAGCGCAGAATCACTCTTGCCAAAAGGTGCTACTTTGGACTGAGTAGGAAATTGAAAGGTAAAGTCCTCTCTCTCGGCGAACGAAAACTAAACTCTACCAGTCGCTCATCATACCCGTCGTACTATATGACGTAGAAGTATGGACAATATCAACATCTGAAGAGCCGGCTCTAGAAGTCTTCGAGAGAAAAGTTTTGCTAAAGATTTTTGGTAAGGCGAATACTGCAGACGATGGAACGTTGCGCTCTACGAGCTTTCGATAATAATGACATAGCGAGCAGCTACGTTGGCTAGTTCATGTCGTCCAAATGGATGAAAGCACTCCAGCTTAAGGAATAACCGCTGGTGGAAGCAGAGGAAGAAGAAGATCTCCTTTCCGTTGGAAGGATGAGGTAGAGAGTGACCAGGTCCCACTTGATATTCCACCACTGGTGTCAATAAGCGAAAAGAAGAGATAAATGGTGCGCCAATATTGTTTTGGCTATAATCGCCTAAGCGGTGTCCATGCCGATAAAGAAGAAGAAGAGAAATCTTGAACTGCTGAGCTGTCTCCATGGTATAAAACTTGGAACCCACTCGATCATGTTGTGGTAGAGGACATACAACGTGATTCCCGTGCTACTGACATGTGTACGTCCGCAAAACCTAATATCGAAACGGACCACTATCTTGTATCAAGAAGGATATACTCCCAGCGAATAGCAATATCCGGTCGTCAATTTGCAATCTTCCTTCCACAGCATAGATAGTAGTTAACTACTCGCAGCTAATGATATACGCTCAAAACTCATAAGCTCCGTCAGGATCGGGATGGATCTCTCTGAGATGGTCGATACTAAAGGAAATTTTTGACATAATAAGACTCTCTTTGATGTTACTTCTTTAAAACGCTGCTGGAACAAATAATACGAAATGAAGAACTCTGACATTGATATTATAGAACGCAAGAACCCTACTGTTAGTTCCGATTCCGCCCAAAATACGCAAAGCAAATGAGTGTCATAATGAATGAAGGCAAGCCGAATATATCTTGTCATCAAACAAACAGTAAAGAACAGAGTTCCAAGGCAGAATTACTCCTCCCAACAGTTCTGACTTCGGACTAAGTAGGCAAATTTAAAAGCAAAGTCCGATATCGACAAAGAAAGGCCAACCTTTTTAAGAGTTATCCATAGCAGAGTTTAGCGAAAAGTGTGCGTTCATAGATGCCTTGGTCTATTGTATGTAGAGCTATAGACGACGGCATCTTCGGCGCAATAAAAATCAAAAGCTGCTTTGGATTGTTCGTGTTGTAAAAACCGGCGAAGGTACCCATGGCATGGTCGCAGTGGAAATGGTGGAGGAACTCCACTTTGTTAGGTGTCTGGTGTCTTTTGATCCTAAAAATTTGCACCGATCTATAAAGAAAAAAATACTATTGTTCACTTAGCCATATTCGGCGGTGCCTATCCCAGTTGAGAAGGAGAAGAAGTTTTTACAAAATTAACGCAATTATCTGCTTATTTCTTCAAAAATATTAAGTGAAAATATTTTTCCCCTCAAATTTATAACAAGAGATATACAAACATAGAGATGCCATAGAAAATTTCAAACAGAAAAATATTCAAAAAGCTGACGTTCCAATTACGATGGCCAAGCACTTGAGCGAGACCACAAAAATAATAAATAAATAAATAAATTCAATTGATTTAAAATACACATTTACAAAGTACGTATGCCCAGTTTTAAATGCTTAAAATACATATAGACACACACAGCAAATACTGCGCTGGACCACCAGCAGCCAACCTTATGAGTAGGCTCTACAGCGGCTTGAACCTGTTGTACCCTCAACTATGGCTGATCAGCGGCCTATGACGAAAACGTCAGCAATTGCGTTAGACCAACTAATTTGATTATTTGTTTGTTTATTTATTGTTTAATTTTTTTTTCTCTCCTTTTTTTTTTTTTTTTATTTATTTATTTTTATTTATTTTTTTTTTTAGATCCAAGTAAGCTGAATGTCTAAATTAATAGCACTACATGGTTGAGAAAAATGTTGAAAATTTGAAAATTAGAATCCAAATATAAACAACCACATACTACTTATTATCATAACAATAAAAACATAACGACACAACAATAACAAATGAATGCAAATGATGGAACTAAGCAAACTCAGGCCGTAGACGGTTGTTTGGTTGACCGCCGCTGCTGCGCGTTAAGCCGACAACAAGTGGCGGCAGTGACCATGACATTATTAACACCCAAATGTGACAGAACAATAAACGAACAAACGCTGCGGACCCCATACGTAAGGTCCCCACGAGAGACCAGAAGACCAAAAGACCGCACACACACTTGCAGCGGCAAGAAGAGAAGAAGAAGATGCAGTCAGGAATGCGCGTGTAAGAAATAGGAGTAAAGGAAGGGAAGGAAGCACAAGTGCCGGCATATGAATGCGTATAAAAAGTGGCACTTGTCATGCCAAGCCATGCCATGCCATGCCATGTACTTTGCCTATAAGGGCAAACTATATGTATATGTATATACATGGGTGTATGTGTGTGTGTGTGCGTGCGTGCGTTAGTTTGTAATATTAATTGATGATCTTCCAGTCACAACGCGACAATCGACGACCAACTTTAAACAACAAAAGCAGCAACAGCAACAGCATGCAATATTTACACAGGTAAGTTTGTATGCCCTACCGTTGCCCCCTTCGCCATGCGGCTTTTGTTGCATTACTTTTTACCATTATAAAGACATCGATGTCATGTCAATGCAACAATGCGACAATATAACATTGCACAATGACCACTCAGCTGCATGCCACAACGGCAACAAGGTGGTCCTTATCTACTTACAAGTATGTCTCTAGTTCTGGCTGATTCTCTGCGCGTCTAACTGTCTGTCCGTCTGTCTGTCTTGTCTTGCTTGGTTTTGGTTAG